CTTTGCTCTACTCAACTTAATGTGTGTGTGTGTGTGTATATATATAAAGCAGTTTAAAACATATGTGATATATAAATCTTTGTAAAACAGTAAGACAACTTAGTTTATTAAAGAAAATACAATAACAAACTCAATTTTACTAATATATGAAAGTCATATAGTTCTATGAGAGATTCTCTAACCGACAACCACCATTATGAGCCTATGTGGTGATACAACGTCTTGCTCATACTTCTAGAATTGTTCTATACTTTACTGTCGAATAGAATTACTTAAATTATTGGATCCACTAGCTTAACTTACGTGATCATCTAAAAAGTATGATCTGTTAATACCCATGATGGGTACATAGTTTTCATGGAGACTTGAGTTAATACGAACTTTCATCCGCATATCGGTGCTCAATACTACTCTCAAAATATACTTTAGCTCATGCTTTTAAAAATCAAATTTCTTTCTTTGGGTTGAGAAAATATCTCAACACTAAGCTTTAAAAGTTCTCTTGGAATAAATGTTCCCTTTTCATGTTCAAAAATCTTTTGAGAAATCTTAGTTTCCTCTTAACTTAAATGTGAAAACATTTATAATCTTTCTAGGGAATACTTATTCCCTTTGTATCTTTTGATAAATGAACTCAACTCTTTACTCTTTCTTTAACTCTAAACTTGAGCATTAAAATGAAGTTAAAACGTTTGCATAAGACTCTAGGAAACTTTAAGAACTCAGTTTGACTTGCTTCTTAACTTTTAGACTTCACTCTTAACTTCTATGACTTTAATCTTAACTTACCTTGAATTGGATTATGGATTCAAGGTTCATATCTCATGTTTATGGATGATTTCATGATATTTAGATGTACCTTAGAGTGTTGGAATCAACTAAGAAATGTGGATACATCATTTAGGAACTAGTACAAAAAGATAGGAAAAGAATGGGGTCTCCACGGAACCCTAGTGCTCTGAGAGGCGTGGGGCGCCAGAGCTTAACGGAAAGTCATTGTCCTCAGACTTTTCTTCTTTGATTTTTATCTCTAAACCTCCTAAACTTCCATGTATCTTTACCCAAACACTTAGGATCACTAATACTCTCAATACCCAATAGATTCAACTCGAAAAACAATACGGAAACACGAATCAAATCAACTACAACTCAACCAACAAGGATTACACAATTGTTCATCAAGAACATCAATATTCATTATTCAATCTATTCAAACTCGTTGAATTAAACATGTTGGTGTGTGGGTGAAAGAACCCAACATCTAAAGATATCACGTACCTTATAGGGATCACCCCCGACTAATTTCACTCGAAGATCTTGGCGTTCTTGATGAATTCTTGATATTTTGTCCTTTCTTCTTCTTCTTTTCTCTTTTCTCTCAAGCCCTAAGCTATTCCAATTTTCTAAAAACTAACTTAAGTCTTAGTTTTACCCCTAATAAACCCTTAAAACGGATTAGGAAATAATAGGGTGAAAAGACTACTCTACCCCTGCAAAAATCCGGATTGGACTTTCCTCAATCCAACAACTCAACTTCCAAAAGGCATATCTCCCTCATACGACATCGAAATCGAGAAAACTCGGTACCAAGGTCTTTTCAACCTTATAAAGAAATGACCCTAACTCCTCTTGAGCTAGAAGTTATAACCGTTTGAAAATGACCAAAACTCACTTCTTAAGCTTAGGAAATTTCCAGATTTTTCTTTTTCTTTCCAAAGGTGATTATATTTGGTTTCTTAGCTTATTACTAGCTATTTCAAGTTACGAGATATTATACTCGAGACTCAAAATATTGATTGAAGTCAATCGTATCATGAAAATTTTCAACTCAAAAAGGTCAAATTATCTAAAAATACACTTGATTGCATAGGGGACCACACCAACTATTTTTGAAAACACAATCTAAGCATGGAAATGCTACGGGTTAGGGTAAAATGGTTATTTAATTATTAAAAGCAAATTCACAAGAAATGAGACATTACAATAATTCTTGCATCTTACAAAGAATATCTAGCTTATGATCAAAGAAAATTCATCTACTTCACTATGATTTTTATGACCTCTCAAACGAGTCAGGATTGTAGATCCACCTCTCTGAGAAAAAAACATAACTCACCCATACTAGTCTTTTACGACTTAATACTACAAAATCAAACAATAAGTAGGATTTCAGTACACTGGACATAATTACTTAGCTATTTTTCACATAAGAAAGTCAGCCAACTTGATTTAAAGTATTCCGAATAATACTAAAAATTAAGGAATCAAATTCTAGAGAATGACTTGCTTTTCAGAAAATATTTTGGTCGTACAAAACATATCTTAATGACTTGTTTTTCAGAAAATATTTTGGTCGTTCAAAATGTTTTGAATGAAAAATGTAGCAAATTGGACAACAAATGTCCAGTCTAGATTAATTAGTACTCGTATCCGATGCTTACATCAGTTCAATGAAGACATGACATACATACTGAAGTTATATATTATTTTCTCTAAACTATCATTAGCCGACACGTGTTGGCCTTTACTCATTAACTTAACTATGGTAAGATAGTCTGATCTGACATAGACAGCACGTGCGAGTAAGTTATCTTACCTAAATTCTAAATTCAAACTTACCTTGTTATAGAAAAAATCATACTTTTATCATTTTTAGTATCTTAGAACATAATGAAAAGTACATTATTTACTTTCCATATTCCCTTTCAAATGTAGTAGTACTTTCCATACTTCAAGCACTCAACATAGCTATATAAACACATTCCCATCTATATTTCCTCCATCACCATTTTATTTAGATTTAAGAGGAAAGAAAAAAAAAAGAGAAAATGGGGAGAGGGAAAGTTGAGTTGAAGAAAATTGAGAAAACATCTAATAGGTTGGTTACTTTTTCGAAAAGACGTCAAAGTCTTATGAAAAAGGCAAATGAATTAGCGATCTTGTGTGATGTGGATGTGGGAGTAATAGTTTACTCTCAAAGTGAAAAGTTGTATGAATATGCTAAGCCAAGGTATGTTTTTAATCATATATACCAGTTAGTAAAAATAAATAGTGAATCAAAATTGATTATTTGTATTAAAATTTCAGTAAAAATGTAAGTGTTCTTCCATATCATGACTTGATTTCCTTATTCCTAGCGGCGAATATGTATGAGCATGTATTAACCTAAAGTCTTGATTAGAGCCGTCAAAATGGGCTTAGCTCATGGGGCCAGCCCAACCCAACCCGTTATTGGGGTAGGGTTGGGATAAGATTCTTCAAACCCTTTTAAAACTAGGGCTTATAAGCACGCCCATAGAAGTCCTTAGCCCTTGAGGCTTGAACGGGTCGGTGTTGGCCCATGGGCCAAAACTTTTTATTAGGGTAACTTACAATAATCTAACTAGCATATAATTTAATTACTAAAATACACGCTATGTTGTAATATTATGAATCATACTAGATTTTGGTATGTCCAGATATATATATCTCGGAATATATGAACTCAAAATTAGGTTAATATGTTCTAGTACACTCTATCAAAGTAGATTCACATGTATCTAGGATGTATAGACAAATTCTCGCACCCTCGCCTCCTCCATAGGATGTATAGACAAATTCTCGCACCCTCGCCTCCTCCAATCTTGCTTATCACTTACTTATCTCGCTCGCGTATCCGGTATGTGAGATACATGCTAATTACACTAGACTCTTTTTTTTGGTAAGTAAACATTATATTTATCAAAATGAACATTTACAAAGCTGAAAAAAACAGCAGACTTGGTCAATCTTGCTCCAAGACTTCCTAATCTAACCTTCTAAGCTACTATTGCGACTCCTATACTCTGGATACATATTTAGTTGTTATAGTCTACTGTCTATCCTCTTCTCTTGAGATCATCTTCCATATATTTCACTAATGATATGCCTAATCATGTATTCCTCATTTCTCTGATGGATTGAAATATTCTGGAATTACGTTCTATCCACATGTGGAATGCAGTATCTGTCGGATGTAAACTTGTGTTGTGTTATTCTTGCCTTTCATATACTTTATTGCCCATTGTAATTCTTCATGTCACTTCATTCCAGTTCATTGTATTCCTTGCCATGCCAGTATCTTATTCCATACTCCAACAGTGAACTTACAAGCGAAAAAAAGATGCTCTATATTTTCTTAAACCCCTTGACACAAGGAACATATTAAGTCATGTGTTACTCCCCACTTTACCATTCTATCCTTTGTTGCAATACGTTTATTCAGTGCCACTAGACTTTTTGTTAGTATTATTAAAACAATACCATTGTTTGTCATATTTGATTGACAATCTCCTGATTTTCTTGATGTCATAGAATTAGAAGTTTGTAAAGAAAAAAAGGGCTAGCCCGGCCTAGCCCTCGGACCTTCAAGGGTTGGATTGGGTTGAGGATATTCAGGTCCTTCCTAATGAAGAGTCAGCCCGCCCCAGCCTTTTGAATTCCTTGACCCGCGAGACTTGGAAAGGGTGGGGCTGGGCCGGCCCTTTTTGACAGCTCTAGTCTTGATAGTTAGTTTTTAACTTTTCGATTGAAAAAAATAAGGAAAAATGACAAAAATCACACCTTTAAGTTTTCTTATTACCATTATCCCTTATTAGTTTTACAAATCCCTAAAATTTCTCATTTTTGCGCATCAAAAATTAATGTATCAGTGCATCAGATTAGTGTATCATGTATAAAATGTACATCATATTAGTGTATCATGTATAAAATGTAATGTATCTTACTTAACGATTAATGTATCTCGCGCATCAAATTAATGTATGAGCGTTTATATTATTGTATCAGTTTGAGGAATTTCAGTAATTAAAAAGTATTTGATTTTTGTCCTTTGTCCAAAAAACAATGTATATGAAGGTGCGCGAGTATATTATTCTGTAGTAGTAAGGATTACTATAACACTAGTCCTAAAAATATCATTCGTCATTTAATAATGAATGTTAAATCGACTAATAGAGTCATATTTTTATTTTGATTTTTGTCTATGCTTCTTTCTCCCATTTAATAAGTGTTTAATTCTTTTGTTTTTATTATTGTTGTTATTATTAGATAAGAAATTATAATAGAAGTTAAAGTGTTTGTGTTTATTAATATTATTACTATTCAGTAACATCTCTTTTTTTGTGAAGTATGGGAAATATTCTGGCTAGATACAATCCTAATTCTGAACCTGCAATAGTTGAAACTGTCACAACTAAGGAGGTAAGTTAAATATATTTTTTTCACATAAACTAATTGATTACATCATTCATTTACTTTAGGAAAATAATTTTTTTTTCCAATTTAATTTTTTTTAATTAATTAGGAGCCTCAGACTGAGTTAGATAATCTCAAGGAAGAAATTGCAGTGCTGCATAGGATGCAAAGGTATGTTTTTTTTCTTATAAATTTTATATTAAAATTAGAAAATTTCTAAAGGGTTGTGAGATAGAATGTGTCCATAGAATTATGATGTGAATTTTAGGTTCGATGATGATAGTTTAAGGGACAAAAAAATGTTAAGTTTATTAAGTCAAAACAAACAATATGTGTGACGTATTCATATCATAATTACACTTTATACATTCAATATTTCTCTAATATCTTTATTATTGATGATATTAATCAATAATAATTTTTTCGTATGATATAATGTGTAGTGGGTTGCTGGCAAAAAAGCTTGATGGCTTGAGCTTCACAGAACTGCAGCAGCTGGAACATATGTTAAAAGAAGGTGCTTTGTGTATCAAGGATCACATGGTATATATAAATAAATATATATATATATATTCATTTTTTCAATTATTTGTGACATTATGGTATCGAGACTTTGAAGTGTTTATATTAAAATCGATTGTCTATATCACATCTTTTTATGTGAGATTTTTTCCTTGATCCTGAATAATCATGTGATGTTATATGCGCCAAATTATTTTTTGTTGAATTAATTTTTTTAATTAGTTATCACATGTATTTCGAAAATAACCCCTATTTAAAATTCGAGGAGAGAAAAAAAGGCATTTTTTCTTGATTATTTTTTCTTTATATTTCAGGAACGAAAGTTGATGGGGCAATTTGAATCGTATATGCCGGAGGTATATATATATATAAATTTTCTCTAACTCGTGATGAAATCGATTGTGATTTAAAGACATAAATTTTACTAAAAAGATTTTATACTATATGATTTTCTTGAAAATTACCTTTTGCGGCTTATAATTTTTCTTTTGCCAGCAGGAAGAGGCTATGACTGAGGCCACAATATTACCTGAACAAGCAAGTAGCCACAATTCTAACCTCATTTAAATTGTTATATTCTAAATATTATAATTGTGATTTATAATTATTAATTTTTCCTAATTTTATTTATTAAATTTACTAATATATTTAAAAATGTGTATATATATGTATTGAAAATTCAGGTTGCTATGAAAGAAAATTTTCTTGATGAAGCGGACACTTCAATGCATTTAAGGTAATTCTATTCACTTTTGTTTCTTCCAATTACTATTAATATTTGTTTTCCTCTTAGAAAAAAAGAAAAAAACTTACCTCTATGGTTCTATTATTAATTAAAGACTAAATTTGAAAACATTTATGAATGCATGCAGATTTTTTAAAAACTTTTTAGTTTATCAATGATTTTTAATCGACTCAATTTATTTGAGTGATATGGGAGGACACTTTTGATTATATATTTCTCCTAATTTTTTTATTCCTCAATTTGTTAAACTTTTTTCTAATATTAGTTTTATATATAAGTTTAAATAGAGCGATATAAGCAGTGATAATTTCATATAGTCAATCTAACTTATTGGAGATTGAGATCGTGCAATTATTATTCTTATTGGTACATTGAGAAACTTTAGTGCTTTCTTAAAAAAAATTTTATTAGATATTGACTAGTTTAAATGTTTGATATGATTTGTAATAATTTCATGAAGTCAACTTTATTTATTTGAAATTGAGGCACGGTTATAATTTTATGTATACGAAAGATCAATTTAGAAAATAAATTTTAATATTTATTTTATGTTTTACAGGTTGGCTGTTGATACTAATTTGAAGCTGGAACCCTCAAAAAGTGAATGATGTTGAAAATCGTATGATCATAGAGTGATTTATATTACTCTTTCACAATTTGAAATAAAAACTCTCTTTACTTTTTACATTAATATTTGCTTATTGGCTTGGTTAAAGCTAAATTGGAATAAAGTTGTATGTGTGACTAGAACAAGTTTGCAAAAGTTGGATTCTTCTTTTGATTTCATCAAGAAGAATTGAAATTTAAAACTGATCTTTTTTTCAATTTTTTCTATGTTTGATACTATCGTTGTGGTTGTGTGATGTTTCATTTACTTTTGTCTTTACTTCATGTTATATATTGTATTGAGACTTGAAATGATCAGAAGCTTGTTAAATAAAAAAAATATTTTTACTAAAAAATATTTCATAATAAGATTCGAACATATAAGGTGACTTGTTTAGTATTAAAAATGAACAACTTCTTAGTACGTAGTGATTTGTTCCCTTCTTAAGTCTATTTGAAGCAAATTTTGATCATTTCATCAACGAACTTTAAATTTTGAATAATTAAATTATAAAAAATATGAAAATTGATAAATAATTTTGGATTTCAAATTAAAATCTATGTCATTTATATCAACTAAACCACATTCTATATCATTTTTAGATGGTTTAAGTATTATGAATTTTAATATTACCGATATCACATGTTATCATCTAAGATTGACCTTGTATTTTCTTAAAATATTTTTTTAGAAAATATTATAACATCCAATAAACAATGTTATTTTTGTGGTTATCCTTTCTTTTAAGTACACATCATTCTTTAGTTAACTAATTATTTTCTAAATTAAGTACTATTAGCATGCATTAGTCTAATGATTATTTTGATTAGTCACTCAAATGACGAAGGGTTCAATACAATTATTCACTTATTTAATAATAATTCTCTTATAATGGTTGCAAGCCTACTTTCTAATATTTTTCTCTATTTTTTTTAAGTTTATAATCATATGGTATATCAATACAAATAAATCAAAATTTTGTTTATTATTATATGGAATTAAATTTAATCACACTTTTTTTTGGACCACATGCTTTTTCTATTACAAAAATGAAATATAAAACTTCTTGGGTATAAAATAAGACAATTTATTTTTTGAGTTATTCAGCTGGATCAATCTATTTTAAAAAAAAATTATCTTTGTTCGGACTTGATAATAAATATATCACTTTTATGGATTCATTGAAAATGATATTTATAATGGCATATTAGTTACACTTGCCATCAAAATAGAAATTAACTGTTTGATTTTTTTTTCAAAAAAAATAAAATATCGTTTGAATCATTATTTTGTCGAATATATTTTATAAGCAAATAACTTTTTTTTTTCAAGATAATAATATTTTTAAAAATTATAAAATTGGACAAACATAATATGTGGATCAGAATATTCTAATGATTGTGTTATAACTTTGTGTGTTTAAGATATATTTAAAATGTGGAACAAACAAAAAGTATAAAAGTGAAAAGAACAAAATTATGTCCAAAAATGGACCAATTGTGTTACTTTTCCTTTTCATAACCTTTTTTATTTTTCCTTTCAAAATCAATTGAAATCACAAATTATTAAAATCACCAAGTGTCATTACTTAAAAAAAAAAATCTGATTTCATTCAAATTTGACTTGTCTGAAATATTTTCAATGAAATTTTGATGAAAATATTTATTGAATATTCACATTTTTTAGTAGTGTATGAATCTGATCTTGAACTAAGAAAGTAATAAAAACTTAAATTAGAATTTTGTTATGCAGAAGGCAAAAAATATACATTAATTTTCTTTAAGACTTTAAGTAGTTTAGTAGATATACCAAAATCTCAACAATCTTAATAATAATGATAAAGCTAAATAAAATAAAATAAATTAAACAATTAGTTCATCCTAAAAGTCCATTAAAGTACAAATGCCGCACGAAGCTAATTAAGTACTTTTGATTTAATCTTTCAAGATAATTTCCATAGAAATTTCAAAATTATTTCCAAAATGAATTTTTATATATTTCAAATGTGTAAATTCTTATACTATCAATGTGATTTAAAACATTATGAAAATTTATTTGCATACATAAAAATATTATATCTTCTAATATTGTTTTTATATATAGAGAGATGGAAACAAAGATGGTGATGCAAAGGTAGATGTCACATACTTATGGAAAACAAAAATTAATTAATTTTTGATTGGTAATTAAAGAGTCAACGTGTCAAGATTAGAGGAGGTCAACTTTTAATCCTAACCGTTTAATTGAGGTTAGGCCACCAATCCAATTAGCCAAATCACCCCAAATAATAATGCTTTGTTTGGAACCGTCCCAAAAAGATAAAATTTAAAAATTTTAAGTTTTTGTCTTATATAATAATTTTAATTCAAACTAGTATCAACTTAATTGTCATACTGATCAGAAAGAGGTGTGATGAAAGAGATATAATTATTTTATCTTTAATTATATGTTTTCGATTTTTGAAGTTTAGGCGTAAAGACAGATTTAAAATTTAGACTTATGGTTATGGCTTGATTAGCTTAAACTTACTATATTTTTAATATTATGGAATCAAATATGATAGGATCCAATCTTGGAGAATTATTACACAAAAATATGTAGTTTACATTAAAAAAAAATACAGAATAAGGTTGGATGAATATGTAGTTTATGTAAACAAAAAAAATACAGTTTAAGGTTGCATCTGGGGCGCGCAGGGTGCTTGAGCATTCATTAATCTCGTATTAAATATATATATATATAAATGGTATAGAATTAAAAGTGAGCACTAGGGTTGTTTCTGGTTATAGTTAAAAAAAAATTAACTCGACCACAATTAAAATCAAACTGATTTAAAAAATTGATATTTGATTTGGTTTGATTTTAACTAAAAAATAACTGGAACGAGAAATTTGATATATAAAGTTTATAATTATTTATAAATAAAATATAAATATTTGTTAAATTTAATAAACCTAAGTTTTTCAGTTTATCATTTTCTCAAGTCTAAAACTTAAATTTAGCTTAACTATTCAACCTTAAGTCCAAATCCATCAAAATTCACTATTTTAGTCTTCACCTACATTACCTCGCATAAGATAGTCATACTTTCTCTTAGTTGAATCACATTGTTCGTCAAATAATAACTTTAGCATTACTTAATTGCTTAATTGAGCCACAATAATTTTTCTATAGATTGTTCATGTACTAGTGTTTGTGTCTGTCAAAATACGTATATCCTAAAAAAAATTATTACTCTTAAATCAGAAAAATCGAACCAAATCGACGGTTACTTTTTTTATTTGATTCTATTTTATCTTATAAATATAAAAAATGACTAGATTAATTTGATTTTAATCCGAACCATAAACACCCTAGTGAGCACCTAGACAACAAGCGATTGTTTGATAGTTGATATAGTAGTTGTTTGTGCGTGCTCAAAGTTATATATTACATGTGCAATGGCCAGGTTTTGATTCCCAGTATGGTCCTTTCAAAGTTAAAATAATATGCAGAGAACGTTAAATAATCTTTATGAATTCTATCACCTCCCTAAAGAATTACCTTCTCGTTTTCAGTAAATCTACCAATCAAATTTATCATAAGACTCATAGTACATGATCTTGTACAAGAAAGCATTTTTTTCTTCAATAAGCTTAACAAAATACAAATTCAAATTATTTGAGGCATCAACATCAATATCAATATGAAACATAGAGGGTGAAACTAAACAGTTGTAGTACTTCATTAAAAACATTAAAAATCAACTTCATATCACAACCAGATCACCACTATGAAATTGTAAAGTAGTCATTTGATATTTAATGTGCAATAATGGTTGGCCAAGATATTGTAAAGTACTAATTATAGGATCTTATATATAATAAGAGACGTGTTTGTTTGTGTCGTCCATATGTGTTGCATGAAAATCCTATAAACATTTTTTAATATATATATATATATATATGTTCAATCCAAAAAAAGTATAATAAAAAATCAAAAAGATTGTGTTATTCAAAACTCTACTTGTGACATTCTTTTTCTTCCACTTCACACCAATGATCAATAGTATATAGAAAATATCTTTATTATAAAACTAAAACTAAAAAAATTCTTTGATACTTAAAAGTAACTAAAGTTTGAAATACTTGTAACAATGACTATAGAATATCATTTTTCTTTTGAATCATGGTCATTTTGGAAGTGGTAGCTATAGTTATGTAGCTAATCCACCATTAGATAACTCATAGCTTACATTTATTTTTAAATTTGTTATTAAATAAAAATTAAGTAAAACTGATAAATCGTGTTAATTAACTATAGAATTTACTTGTCGTCATTCATATTATTTTACAGTGATGCATCTCTACTATCTCGATCTTGCTAGATATTAAATTTTCATGACATAAATCTGAATTAGTTAGAAGAGATGGTTATAAACGTATTTTTTTTTAAAAAAAAACATCAACATTGATTCTACATCAGCCAATCCTGACCGTCCATTCTTCATTCAAGATCCATTATATCAACATCACGCTTAATAAAAACAACGGCTGCACGTGTATTCTTTTATCATGCTCTGCAGGACCACTCTATCATACCCTTTCTTTATCACTTTAATTTAAATGAAAATAAATAAAAATGTATATAATTTTATTAATATTTTCTTTTTGTATATAAATAGGGGAGGGCATGAATGCAAAGAAATGATCAACAATCATTTCACAAAATTCTATAGTATTTTTTTCTTTATTTTTCTTAGCCACCTTCAAAACACTCATCATTACCTTGTCCCCATCTTGATATTTGATACCAAAATCCCTTATACTTTCTCACTTTGCCTTTTTCATAGCAAAATAGGATCAAAATACTCTTCACTATTTCCTTGTGTTTGTTGTGAGCTAATTCATCTAGCCACTAAGTATTCCATTTGAATTTTATTATTAACGTCGAAGTGAATTTAGTTCTTGTCGTTTCCTTTCCTTTTATTTTATTCTGATTCTTATGAACAAAATCACTTTCAACACTAAGACTCATTTTGTTTCTAGTGATTACAGCCCCTCTAATACATAGACGTGCAATTTAAAAATATTAATATTAAAATTCTCTAATTGTGAATTCTATTCTGATCGTTTGTTTGAAGTTGTTTAACAAATAAAAAAATACGAAAAAAGGAAAGAACCACCCCACCTAACCCATATAACATCATATTTCCTTTCCTTTCTTTCTTTTTGCCCTTTTCTTAGT